GATGGCTATGGCCTATGAGCAGGGGATGAGCTAGTTATACCCATCTTCTCTCTGGGTGTTGTATAATTCACCCAAATTTACACCAGTATAAAGGCTTGTAGCAAGCTGGTTAGTGTACCTCACCCTTCCCTCCCTCCCTGCAGAACCTGAATTAAATAAATGTAGTCCTTAGTTCAAACCATTACTTGTGTCTTGTCTCCTTCCCCTTCTGTGTCTTCAGCCTTCATTTCTGATTGACACTGTTTGTAGATTAGCCCAGAGGAAAAAAGAAAAAGGAGAAAGTGCATACTGAAAATAAAAAATTAGCTATCTTCTGTTTCTAGTCTAGCAAGAGATCAGTATTCACTGCTTACATACCTTATTTTGCCACTGCTGTATTTCTGGGCAAACTTTTAGTTTGCGCTAATGATGGAGACCTTTTAAAAGAAGTGTAATGCAACATTTATTTATTTATTTATTTATTTATTTACTAGCTTTACCTTGGTAGGAGGAGAAAACACAGTACTGGATAATTTATGCCTTCCTGGTAATTTATTTTGGCCACTGCCACAATAGTGTGTGGTGCTTATTTGATCTTTTAGTTCTGATTGTAGACCAGTTTTCCCACAAAACTCAATGGATTCTATTCATCTTTATGGAAGAAAGCAAGGGGACTTTAGTCCTTTTGGTTTACTTGAAGCCAATCCACATCTATGTCCGAAAGTTACAAGCTGGAGAGGGAAAGACAGACAGTTGCTCGTTTGAGGTATTCTTCCTTACTTGTAGTTTAACTTTTCTGACTTTCCTGACTCAGCAATAGCTGTCATCAATCAATGCTACTGTAGGTAGGAGATGTTACATGAAGTCCTAGTCTGGAACAAACCAGGCTTCAAATATTGCTGGACCAGGAAAGCTGGGAGAGGCTTTCCATTGTTAGTGATACAAGACTGGAGAGCTAATAATACAGGCCCATTCATAATTTTCACAAGAACCAACCCACCAAGATAGTTTTCCCTTGAAACAGGAAGAATTGGTGGTTGTTTTGAAAGTTTCTGACTATAGTGATTGTGGACCACCCCTCAAGGTTTGTATGCTTGTCTAAGGTCTTTGTGTACATTAGCCATGTCATACCCCACAACACACAATTATACTATTGTGTATGTGAGGGCAGTGTGATTAATGTGTTTCTATAAATATTAAAGAGTTTTTCAAAGCATCTGTCCTGCTATATAGTCATCTGCCCATGCATAATCAAACATATAATCCAGTTCAAATCCCACTTTATAAAAAAGGAAATTACATGTGATTTATGTGGATAAAGATGGGCACACGTTAAATAGTGCACTGCACTGAGAACCTTTTTCAATAATTGCTGTGTTTCCTATGTGCCTTTTTGCAAAGTCCAAAAAAGCTTGCTATGGATTTCAAGTTGCTCCCACCTCAGCTGCAGCTCACTTCAGCTCCTTCACAGTTACCACGAGCCTCTTGGTTGCTTCTCTGGCTAATGCCTGCCTTGCCCAACCACTGAGTTTTGGTGGACATCTTTCTCTAGGCAGAATCAAGGTTGAGCCATATTCTTTTTATTTAGTAATAATGGATTTGACAGCTCCTTGGTCTTCATGATGCCGTTTGCGGCTCTCCAACGAACTGGATCCTTCCAGAATCAGGCGCCTTTACTCTGAGATCATGTGGTGCTGAACCTCCACACAGAGGACACCACTGAACTATTTACAGACAGTATGTATTTCTAGAGGCAATGACTAGCACCAGAGCTTATTTAGGCAGGCCCGACTTAATTTATACTGTTAATTTATATTATTTTAAGGAACTTTATTTATGGATGTGAACTGCCCCGAGGCTTCGGCGAATGGGGCAGCATAGAAGTCTCCTAAATAATTAAATAATAAATAAATAACAGAAGTGGTGAATTCATATGTAACCAGCAAGTACCAATTTGTTTTTGTTTCCTTAACTTTGTGTCACAAAAAAATTAGCAAGAAGTATGTATGAATACTTCTACAGGGCACTGTATATGTCACTATTAGAACTATGAGAAGATAAAGTAATACTCATGTATGCTTTTATATGTGTGTTTATATACAAATAATACACATTACATTATATATATTGTATTAGAATATTATCTCTATTTATATATATTTAAAGATGGTAGATTCCTTCCTGTTGTCTTCTTTTGTAATATATTGGATAGTATTTGTGACTACAGGCATTGCTATGACAGTTACCATTTTTTTCTTGAGATGAGTTTTGCTGATTTTTCTTAGACCCCTTGGGATAAGATAATAGCTGTTCAGTTTCTCTTCAGGTCTGGATCATGACAACCATTTGTTCTAGGCCTATTATGTTGCATTCTAAAATGAAGGATAAAACTAAATTAAAAGTGTCATGACAACAAGAATGATCTGATGTTCTGAACAGTGTGACAATTTTAGAGTAGCTATTCAAATTTGCATTATTTTAGCTATATAATACATGCATGAAATACAAGCTGAGAATGGCCATATTTCTTTTTAAATTAGGGATCACCACAAGACTCATTTCTTGGATTTTGTTCCACTAAGAAGAATAAAGCAAATTCCAAACATTGACAGACTGGTTTCCATAACAGGTTGGCAGGTTTTTTGAGCCACGGCACACTTGTCAATATGTAAAATGTCCTGGGCACCATCACAAAGTGGTTGCCATGGGAGACGAGGCAAAGCACAGTAACCTACACCAAAGACTTGAGTATGTGGCAGATGTGGGGCCTGAGCTCCAACATTAACAGCTCCTTTGAATCCAGTTTTCAGCACCAACAGAAAACTACTTCACAGCAATTCCAGGTGCAGTTAAGCATTTTTTTTAAGTGAAGGCAGCAGGGCACCATTTGGCAGGCTCTACACAAGATGATAATGGTGACATTGGTGACCATGAACACTATATTGCTTACCACTGATATAGGGTACATGTTGGAAACATAGATATAGATATATCCACTCAGAAGTAGTATTGAGTGCAATGGAAATTACTCTCAAGAAATTGGGTATAAGTTTGCACTGTTAGTTTTCTTGACTTGATCGATTGTAATGTATATTTATTGATTGATTTATTTAAAGAATTTTTATGCTGCCCCCTTTGCAACAAGCCTCGGGGCGGCTTACAAAACAAACAAATATTGAATAAAGTTTAAAAATCCGGATACATCTCGGCAGGTGTATAATAAATAAATAAATAAATAAAAACAACAATTAACAGTTAAAATATTGTTTAAATAAAAAGGTCTTGGCCAGGCGCTGAAAAACAAATAATGACTGTGCCAGGCGGACCTCTCTGGGGAGCATATTCCATAGGTGGGGTGCCACCGCAGAGAGGGCCCTCCTCTGGGTGCTCACCCTCCTAATATCTTTCACAGAGGGCTCCCGGAGAAGGGCCTCTGCCGCCGATCTCAGGGGGTGGGAGGGCATATATTGATTCTATATAACTCATAAAAAGTATTGGACCAGTTTTTAATAACTTCACAATGTGTTAGTTATTTGCTGGGTTTTAAGTCAGAGTTGAGCAGCTGCTATCAAAAGCAATACTAGTCACTCACTCGGAATTCAAGAATAGGATCCTATGAAAGTATAGAGTCTAAAGTTTAGACAGAAAACTGCCTACAACTCCCAGCATGCCCAGTCTTTTCTGTCTTTAGGCTTGGAAATTTTACCAACGTTTTCAGTTGAATTAAATATCAAAAAGTTATTGCTACTCTGATATTAACTTATTATTATGCTGCACCATTTAGTACTGCATTCTACACTAAAAATTATTTCAGACAGTAATTCAAGTCCTCTTCAAAATCTTGTGATGGGGGCAACCTCCTCAACCCCATTGTTTGCTTGTATATTTGAATTCATCTGACCACTTCTGCTGCATATCATCATCAGCAAGTATAGAAGGTTCCAACTTTAAGAGGAAAACTGAAGCACTATATTTTCAAATCAGGTGCATTATTGATACTTTCAGAGGATACAAAGATGCTATGTGTTATGTACACGATATTCATTGGTATTTGAGTACTTAATGTAAGAAACATTCTGAATTTGTGTCTCTGATTCTGGTAATATGTTATCTATACAGAACTGTCTCCCACACCTATCCATATCCCACTGATGAGTTTAGGTAAGATTGTAAAACTCATCCCTTGGAGTAGTAGAATATATCAAACAAAATAAGTAAATCTGTACGCAGGATTTCTACAGGTTACAGAACCCAGACTTCCTTTCTAGTTCCTTTCCAGCTTCTGTAGAATTTGAAGCTGCTTTTACCCGGAGCGACTAGTACATACTGTATTCCAGGCTACAGCTTCAATGATGCATTAATTAGGAGAATTGGAAAGGCTTTGCTCAGAGTGATCTAGCTAGGTGCTATTGTGTGTAAATCCCATTACATCCGGAATTATGTATCAATGGCATTTCTAGCCCTACATTAGGGAATAATATGTTTAAGAACAATTTCCTATTTTTGAAAATGTTTTTAAAATATAAAATCTGCTTCAAAAACGGCTGAGTGGCATCCTGTCATTCACTGATGGGGGGTGGGGGGAATTCACACTTTCAAAGTGTTTTAAAGTTAGAAAGTTACCCACCATGTTCCTATTCCCTCCACTCGTTTGGCACGTTGCCTTTCGTGTTCCACACTGGAATATTAAACAATCGCCCAGAGGAGAAAACTAGGCGGGACTCTGCGCTGCTATTGAACGCGGCCGGGTCTGTGTCTTCGCTGCCTAGAAATGCTCGCGCAACAGTAGCGGCACCGCCGGCGCACAGACCCAAGAATGGAAACCGCGCCTGCCGAAATATGCTGAAGCACAGCTCTTTCGTACGTGTGGGGTTTGGGTGAGGAACGCACCAAAAAAGACGCGAGGAGGAGCTGGAGCCGCCGGGGTTGTGCTCATGTGACCGGCGGCGGCCGAGGGCTGGGGCTGCCCAGAAATAGCGCGGCCGCTTTCCCCGTTCGGCGGAGTTGGGCGCCGCGGGAGTCCGGAGGATCAGCTGCCCCAGAGGATGCCAAGCCGCGACGCCCCAAGCAGATGATGGCGATACGAGAGCTGAAAGTGTGTCTGCTTGGCGTGAGTAGCGACCGACAGGCGAGGCGCGGGGCTGGCGGGGGACCGTGTTCGCAGGCGGGAAAACAACGGCCAGCAGCTCCCTGGGGCAGCGGGAAGAGCGTCCCTGGGAAGTGCGCGATTTGCAGAACGGCTTCCTTTGTCTTCCCTTTGGCCCGGGCTCGGCCAGATGTGGGCTTGCTCCGCGCTCGCTTTGCTCCTTCTCGATTTGCTTTCTGGGAACTTTGGCAGCGAAGCAGTTATATACTACATAGGCAGACATCCCCTCCTCCCCTCGTGTCTGGGATTTCTTTTCCCACATACTCCCCCAAAGAGCGAGCGAGCGAGCGAGCGAGCGAGCAAAAGCAAGCCGTTCCTTTCACCTGGGAGAAACTGCTTTAGCTACCTCCTGGGAGAAAATCTAGCGCACTCGCAAACAGGAAGCCTCTGTTTGGGTTAAGTACCCTATCAGGTCGCAGGTGGGGGTTCCCATGGTTGGAGGTTTCTTTTTACAGCAGTGATGATGATAATCGCGTGTAGAACACTAGTATGATAGTGAGAAACTGGGCTGGAGCCCCTTTTCCTAACATACACTTTTCCCATGTGGCGAGAAAAAGATGATTGATTGTATGGAGAGAGCTTCTGTCATGTGAACCCCAACCTGCAATCCGAGGTGTCCAAGTCCCAGACACAGACTTAGCACCGTAATGAAAACTAAGCAATTATCTCCTACTGGGGGAAATATATTTCCAAGGTCTGTTAACGTTGTATTTCTCAGCTGCTGAACCAGACAGTGAAATTTAGCGCCCTGCCTTCCATTTTCTTCCACTAGCTAAGTTATGCTTTATCCAGACATGCTGTTTTTGTGGCTTATATTTAGCAAGTAATGTTTAGTGCTCCAGAGAGGAAAGCGATTGCTACATACTTTAACGGATTTTGGCAGTAATGGGACCAGAAACTGCCTGCATGCAGTTAATGTAGGACACAGCTCAGCTAAAATGTTGTCTTTCTGTGCCTGAACGTGCCCTCCTTTTAGAAGAGTTCATTGCAGAAATATGGTAAGTTCCTCTCTGCTGTAACTTGGCACACCCACACAGACCATTTTCCAGGGAATTGCCTCTTTTTACTTTTAGCTTTCCGTAGAAACTTTTGGCTGTAGAAATGAGACACTGTTTTGCACAGCCATGGTAATTTTACATTTTTTATAGCCTTGCCTCACGTTTATTTAGGCTGGAAAGACCAGCTATTAGTATTAAGAATGCAACAGAAAAAGATTTAAAACTCCGACCAATATTTACAAAAAAAAAGTACATTACAAGGCAAGATACTGAATCCACTTAAAGTGGATTAGATGCAAATGGATTGTTGTTTGGAGTAGTTTTGACAAAAAACACTCCAGTGAGTTAATTAATTCTAAATACCTTCCAACATCAACTGCACAGTACTCTGCAGAGTTTACAGATTTCAGACCTATGAATGCAACAGGACCAGGAGTCATTGTTTTGCAGACATACTTGAGAGTAAAGGTGTAATACTGTGCATGTACTGTGCATGTACATGTGTATTTTAATATCTAAATGTGCATAGGATTTTACCCTACGTCCCACTGCACACTTCCTAGAAGACATCTATATGATATATGGTGGATCCATTTTGTGTTGGACATTCAGTGTACCTTGTTTTTTGTTGTGCCTCACACAGCAAATTGCTGATGATGTTTTTGGTCTGGAATCCTGCTCTTGCTTTAGAATTGCATCCGGCATCAGTGAACCTCGGGTACGACAAAATGGGTGACAGCTGTAACAGATGTTTTTCTGTCAAAACGTTCCCTAATTCAATCAACGTAGCTTTGTTTTTAATGTTTTAAAATAAGCATTTGCTGTGTACTGTGCTCTGTGCTATTTCACTGAAATCATGGAAAATATGTACGTGGCCTAATGAACTCATTGTAGGAATTTCTTTCTGCATAATTTATTTTTTCAATTTGCTGTCCAAACCAGATGTGTTACAGCCTCTAGAGGAAAAAAAGGCAGCTATATATTTGTAGCTTATTTGCCCTTCCCCTCGTCATGAACAAAAGAATTTTTCCTCCAACACAGATGTATGTACAGTTAAATTATTGTTGAAAACCGCCCAGAGAGCTTTGATTATTGGGCTGTATAGAAGTTAAATAAATAATAAGTAATAATTATCAGTGTTTAATGAGGTGCCTCAGTTTTAGAGCTAAAACATTTAAATCATGTGTGAAGGTCTTTCAGCTGTGTTTTTTCTGTGGACGTGCAAATCATAAAGATAAATTTTCATTTTAACTATTAACATATTTCTGAACGTTATTTATTTATTTAGGAGACTTCTATGCTGCCCCATTCGCCGAAGACTCGGGGCGGCTCACAACCATAAACTTCAAAATAGAATAATATAAATTAACAATATAAATTAAGTTGCCCTTGCCAAAGAATAAAATGAATAAATAATATTAACAATTAAAATAACATTTGAATAAAAAGGTCTTATTTGTTTTTCGGCACCGCCGCCGTTATTTGTTTTTCGGCACCAGGCGGACCTCTCTGGGGAGCTCATTGCATAGATTGGGCGCCACCGCAGAGAAAGCCCTCCTCCGAGTACTCACCCTCCTAATTTCCTTCATAGAGGGTTCCCGGAGAAGGGCCTCTCCTGCAGATATCAAGGGGCGGGCGGGCATATATGGACGTAAGCACTCCTTCAGGTAACCAGGACCCAAGCTGTTAAGGGCTTTATAGGTCATCACCAACACCTTGAATTGGGCCCGGACTCCAATGGAAAGCCAGTGAAGGTGACGGAGGACTGGAGTCATGTGAACATAACGCCCAGTCCCCGTCATCAGCCTGGCAGCTCTATTTTGAACCAATTGAAGTATCCAGACCGTCTTCAAGGGTAGCCCCACATAGAGCGTGTTACAGAAGTCAAGTCGGGAAGTCACCAACGCGTGTGTCACTGTCGCCAGGCAGTCGTACTCCAGGTAGGGGCGCAGCTGATGGATCAGCTGAAGCTGAAAGAAAGTGCTCCTCGCCACCGCTGTCACCTGAGCTTCCAGTGAAAGCTCTGGGTCGAGGAGCACTCCCAAGCTGCGAACCTTATCCCTAAGAGGGAGTGCAACCCCATTCAGGACTAGGTTCAATTCACCCTCCCCGAAGCCCGATCCGCCAACCAACAGGACCTCTGTCTTGTCTGGATTGAGCTTCAGTTTATTGGCCCTCATCCAGCCCATTAGCTCAGCCAGGCACCGGTTCAGCACAGCCACTGCCTCACCTGGATTGGTGGAAAATGAGAGGTAGAGCTGGGTATCATCAGCGTACTGGTGATTCCGCAGCCCACACCTCCTGATGACCTCTCCCAGCGGTTTCATGTAGACGTTAAACAGCAAAGGGGACAAAATGGAGCCCTGCGGTACTCCATGGCATAGCTGCCATGGTGCAGAGCCATAGTCCCCCAGCACCACCTTCTGGAATCAGCCATTGAGATAGGAGCGGAACCACTGCAAAGCAGTGCCTCCGACCCCCAATTCTGCTAGCCTATCCAGAAGGATACCATGGTCGATGGTATCGAAAGCCACTGAGAGGTCCAGAAGAACCAACAGGGATGCACTCCCCCTGTCCTTCTCCCTGCACAGGTCATTGTACAGGGCGACCAAGGCAGATTCAGTACCGTAACCGGGTCTGAAGCCAGACTGAAATGGGTCCAGATAATCAGTTTCATCCAAGAGTGCTTGGAGTTGTCCCGCCACCACCCGCTCCAACACCTTGCCCAGAAACGGGATGTTGGCCACTGGTCTATAATTAGTGGCCATCTCTGGATCCAGTGACACTTTAAATTACTCAATATATAAAACTATGCATGGTTTAGCTAAAGGTAAATCAATAAATATTGTCCTTTGTAGGAAAAAATGTTGCATTTCATCATTCTTTAAAAAATGTAGTTTATGCTAACATGAATTTTAGGAATGATGATGTGTTTTGCTCTTACATAGGTAAGCAAGGCTCATAGCCAATTCTAGGAATATAGTGTATTGATTGCAATTCTGTACACACTTACCAGGGACTAAGTACCACTGAACTCCATGGGACTTACTTCCCAGTAAACATGCATAGGATAATACTGTCAGTCCTGCTAAGTTCAATAGAATGTAACTCCTACATAAGATAAATTCGATTGTGCTCATACAAGTCTGCATGCTGAAAGACATTAATGCTAAATTTAGTTTTACCAGAGGTTTTTTCAGAAAGTGTTTCTGTAGAAACTGCAAGTTCTAGGCTTATACAACCCTCCAACATATAAACAAGAGTTGGAGAGACACAAGAAACAGAGGATATGAGCTTCATATATACTAGTCTGGTCCAGGAGTCTGTGGGAAGAGATTCCTGAAATTAAGGAATTAAATCAATAACCTAGAAAACCACCCACTTTAATAAGGGTTCATTCACGTCACTATTCATGAAGTTGTGCGGACAGTTTTACGCAATACCCTTCCTGTAGTGAAATGTCAGACTCTAGGAAGTAAGTGTCTAAAGGACACACATGGCAACTGTCGCTACATAAGCATCCAGTTAGAGGAGCACCCCAAGCTGTATACTTCGTCCTCTCAGAGGAGTGCAACTTATCTAGAGTATTCTGCATAACTTAAGTTTGGTCATAACTCGCCCACCCCACTAACAGTAGTTCTGTCTTCTCTGTGTTATGTCTCAATAACTGATTGTTCTTGAATTGGATATACAATTCTGATTTAGCATGTCCATGAATTCCCTGCAATCTTTAGAAGGAGAAAAAGAGGTAGCTCTAAGTGTTTTCTGTGCAAGTTGAAAAGCACAAGATGGAACCCTGTGTCATCCTAAAGGCCATGAGGTTCAAGAGCAGCACTAGCACTGTGTGAGAACAACTGGAACCCCCGCAAACTAGTGTCCCATTATCCATCTCTGCAGAAAGCTTAGAAGGCTATCATAAAGTATGGTACTCAAACCCTTTGAGGGGTCCTGAAGAAGAAGGTTGCA